ATTAAAGGTGTTTGCCACTCTGCCTGGCCTGTTTGATTTCTTACTACTGCTGTCTCTCCTGTTCCTTGGGACCGCAACTCCCACGGCCCCCACACACCCCAGGCAGGGTGTAACTCCTCAAGTTAGCTCTATGTCCTTAGAGCTGTTTGATACGAAACGTAGAGAAATATTTGTTACGTGAATGAAAACCAAGCTAAGAGGCCTACACACAGCAAGCACTTAAAACTGCAGCTCTTGTCCCAAAAGGGGTGCAAGTCTGTCCCAGTTTAAATAGGGAAGCTCTGGCATGGAGTAATTTGGCCCCTACGTGGGGCTCAGCAGAGTCTATCGTCACTTTTGTCTTGATCTTTCTGGCCCCACCCATTTCCCCACCCCACCCAAACTGGGAGGTGAAGGGTTAATTCCTGGAAACCCCTTTATCCCCTTACCTGAAAGGGATGGGTTAGGCAGGGAACTTCCTGTTCCATTTCCCCGGAGTCCTTCCCCAAGCTGGCCTATGCTGGCTCTTGTCCCGGATCCCTCCAAGGTCTCCCAAACATCTCAGCGCAGGAGTAGGTACCTGGAGTGGTGAGTTGGAGGGCTGGGGTGTAGGCTTAGGGCAGATTGGAGAGTGAAGGGGGTTTTCGGGCCCTACTGGTGGGTTGGTGGCTGGAAAGTCTTGGGGAAAATGAGCCGGGTAAATCTGGAGACGCCAATGCCAGACTGCATGATACATTTGTGGCCTTGGGGGTATGAGGAAGGATCCTAGAGGTGATGGGGCCGAGTGCTCTCAGTCGGACTGACGGGAATCAGGAGGGGAGCCCAGGTCTGAGGAAACCAGGCCAACAAACTTGAGCAAAGGGAACCACTCGCAGAGAGAAGGGGGTATTTTTGGCGGAGTGCCACCCTGGCCTCTGAAACGCCAGTGTGGGCGGGCTTTATGGCAGTGCTTACGTACAGATTTAGGCTGGCCAGATTTCTCTGGAGAGATTTCTCGCCCCACACCCAGCCAACCCCCTACAGAGGTGCATATTAATAGGGTTTTTGTCCCGGAGACCTGAGGGGGAGGGACAGACTTTCTGAGGCCAACTTGCCTGAATTCCATCTCCTGGAAGCCCATTGTCGAGGCCTCACCTAGAAATTCCAGCAGCTTTCTGTGGCTCGCTGGGTTTTTTGACACGAATCTAGGATTCTCTATTTTTTATCAGTGCTGCGATACTCCAGGCTAACACTGGCAGAATCTCATAGAGCAGAATCTCATACAGAAATAACAGGCCCCGAGCCCCATTTTCATGTTCACAGGCGTTATAGCTGCACCAGGTATGACTGTGAGTAAATCATTCTTGGCCTCTCTGAACCTGTTAGGTACATTGATTTAGCAAGTGAGTTGGCGCCGGCTGAAGTGAGCCTCAGAATGCTGGCTGGATTGGAAAGTGTTCTCACCAGCATGTTCTGCAACGGTGATTCATTCTCTAGTTGTCCTTGTCTCCTTAAGATTATTTTATGTGTGTGGAGGTTTCGTTGGCGCGCACATCTGCACGCCAGAAGAGGGAACCAGATTCCATAAACAGCATCGAGCCGCCACGTGGGAACTGAGAATTGAACTCATGACCTCTGGAAGAGCAGCCTGTGCTCTTAACCCTAGAGCCATCTCTCGAATTTGTTTTCCATCTGCTTCTCCAAACAGCAAAATGGAACCCCATTTCCACAGGAAAGAGAGGGATTAGGTGTGCAGGCTAGGCAAAATAAATGCCCTACTTCTTAGGAACATCTCTTGTTTTTTATTTTGGGAACTGACTTCCTAAGTTGTCCAGGCCAGCCCTGTACCTCACTCTAGGTGTAGTCTAGGCAAGCCTGAAATTTTCAGTCCTCCTGTGGGTTTGATAGCCCTCCTCCCATTTTCTTTTTGCTTGTTTTGTTTACTCGTTTGTTTCTTTATGGGACTGAGATCTGTATCCCAAGCTATCCTTGAATTCCCAGTGAAGCTGGAGGTGACCTTGAACTCTTCCCGTCTTTGCCTCCCAAGTTCTGGGGTTTCCGGCCTGTTTCTCCACCGCTGTATGTGCGTGCTGGGGACTGGACTCAGGGCTCAGTTAAGGTTCTTAGGCTAGCCTTTTAACCAGCAGAGCCGCATCCCACCCACCCACCCCCACCCCTCGCTTTCGAGTGCCCTTTTCTGCTCTGAACCTTCCTCTCTTCGTCCTTCAATTCTTAGGGCTTCGAGGTAGCTATCCTCATTGACGGTTCGTAGCACATGCCCGGTCTTTGAAGTGAGTCACTTCAAATGGCTAGACCCAGCGCTCTTGCTCAGGCCAGGGGGGGGGGGGGAACTACAATGGACAGGGGCTGGGGAACAGCAGCCAACGGGTGGTGTGTCTCAGGGTTCCAGAACAGAGGCACAGACGGTGGAAGTAAGGGCTGGAGAAGCCCCGAGGGAATGAGTGTCTGAAGTTGCAGGAAAGAGCCCGGATTGGACAGGCTGTGTGTGGGAGGGAAGGAGCGTTAGGGAGAAAACGTGACCGGGGGTAGGCATTCCTACCGGTCCAGTCCGGGTCATTTCAGCACCCTCTTCTTTCCCAAAACCAGCTTAAAATCTGGATTTCCTTTGTTCTGTGACACTCCCACACAATACAGCTCTCCTGCGAAGGGAATTTAGAGAACTCTCCAGCCTGGACACCTACTTATCCGTCCAAAGTTCTGGGCAGAGGCGCTTCACCCTGCTAGCTTAGATGACGTATTATAAGCGACAATGGTGAGAGCAAGAACAGCCCCATGCCTGCTCCGCACCGCAGCAGCGCTCCCTCTGCGGCGCTGCCCTGGGCCACAGTTAATGGGGTATATGCCTGAGGCTCTGCTCCCATCCCCCTCTCGGGACTCCTACTGTTTGTGGGAAGGCTGGGGTCGGTTTCAGGGCGGCCACCAAAGCGCCAGCTTGTTGGAAGGAGCTTAAACCGGCTTACTAGAAGAATGTTTGCCTAACATGCCTGAGGCTCTGGGTTCCGGTTTCCACGCCTAACCTGGAAACAGAAGCGAAAAGGCCTTTTGAGTAGTAATGAAGAATTTAAGGAGCTGGCCTGAATTCCTTAAAAAGGAAGGCGGAGGAGCAAGGGCCTGCTCCTGTAGAACTGGTGCCCCCTGGTGGACAGTCTTAAGCACTTTCCTTTGCTCGCCGGGGAGAGTGAGAGCTGTAATCCCAGTTGGGAGGTCAGGCAGGAGGACTGTGGACCCAAAGCTAGCTGGCGGGACTCTCCTTACTGCCTGGCCCACAGCTCGGTTGTAGCGTGCTCAATAAACGATTTTTCTGAAGATTTCTTTATTATGCATGCAGTGTTCTGCACGCCAGAAGAGGGCACCAGATCTCGTTGTAGATTGCTGTGAGCCATGTTGCTGCCGGGAATTGAACTCAGGACCCCTGGAAGAGCAGCCAGAGCTCTTCACCTCTGTGCCATCCCATTTCCATGCCCGAAAAACAAATTCTTAAAGGCTGATTTATTTTTATTTTGTATGGACAAATGTTTTGCCTGCATGCTTGCCTGGTAGGCCCCAGGGGCTAGAGGAGAGCACTGGATACCCTGGACCTGGAGTTACAGATAGTCATAGGCCACCATGTGGATGCTGAGAACCAACCTGGGTCCCTTACAAGAGCAGCAAGTGTTCTTAATCCCCGAGGCGTCCCTCCAGTCCAAAGAGATGAAACATTTTTCTGTCCTTAATCTCCCTTCCGTAGTGTTCCGGGCCCACAGAGGCCGCATCAGGAGGAGGGAAAGGTGGCTGAAAAATAACACCACGTCTCAGGATGTACAACAGGACCGTGGTGCAGGATGGTCCTGTGTGTGGTGTTTACACACCTGAGGGGGTGCAAAGAAAGACAGCCCTGAGTGCGCCTCTGCCCTGCTTCTCTGAGTTGGGTCTCCGCGTGAACCCGGGTCTTGTTTTTCTGCTACACTGGCAGCCGGCGAGTCCCGTCCATCCTCCTGCCTCTGCCTCCCACACTGGTTAGGTTTCAGACGTGTGTTGCTTGGTATGTGGATGCTGAGGTCCATACTCCGGACCTTGTGCTTTCACGGCAAGCGCTGTCGACCACCAGACTACCTTCGTTCCCATTTTCACCAGTCCCTGCCCCCCCCCCCAAGTCCTAGCCCAGGATAGCCTAGAACTTCCTATGCAGTGCTGGCTGGGACTGAACCCAGGAGTGTGTCCGTGCTAGGCTACCAGCTGAATCATGTCCCAGCCCTCAGAACTACCCAATTTTTTTGTCTTTTTTTTTTTTTTTTTTCAACACAGGGTTTCTCTGTGTAGCCCTGGCTGTCCGGGAACTTGCTCTGTAGACCAGGCTGGCCTTAAGATCAGAGATCCGCCTGCCTCTGCCTCCATGCTAGAGCCACCTGATTTTTCTGTCCCTGCATGACTGCTCTGTCTAGGCCTTCCTACAGCTGCTAGCCATCACTCTTGACAGTGGGAAACTGACTCCTCAGGAAGCCACATTCAAGATTTAATGTTTTGTCTTTTAGATTTATTTCTTTATTGTGTGGCGGTGTTTTGCCTGCACATATGCCTACACACTGCTGGGGTACAGTGCCCTGGGGGGGGTGGGCAGAAGAGGTGAATTGTCACAGGTCCTCTGGGAGAGCAGTCAGTGCCCCTGACTACTGAGCCATCTCTCCTGCATACTCTTTTTGGTTGAGACAAGAGTCTTTCTATTTAGTTCCAGCGCTCTGTGCAGGCCATGCTGAGCCACCATGCCTGGCCCGTATTCATATTTTTTTAATGCCTGTAACTCAGGTAGGGCTTAACCTTCCTACAGGCACCTTGTTTTCATGAACCTTTTTTTTTTTTCTCCCCTTATGTAGATAAGGCTGGCCTAGAATTCCTGATCCTCTTGTCTCCACATCCTGAGTGCTGGGAAAACAGGAACCTGGTTTTCTGCAGCAGATCCTAATGTAGGGTCTTCAGCTCCACAGGTGTGGAAGGAGCTGGAGAAAGTGATCGAAAAGCCGGCCCCTCGGCAGGAGTTGTGAAAGATGCTGTCGGAACCAGTCCCAGGGGCCGTGGAACCGGAGCAGTTCGGAGCAGTGAAGCTAGAGGACGATGAGGTCGGCAAGGAGGACCCCAGGCTGGCTGAGGCCAGGCCCAGGCCCGAGGTGGCTCATCAGCTCTTCAGATGCTTCCAATACCAGGAAGATATGGGGCCGCGGGCGTCCCTGGGCCGGCTCCGGGAACTATGCCATCACTGGCTGCGGCCGGCGCTGCACACCAAGACGCAGATTCTGGAGCTGCTGGTGCTGGAGCAGTTCCTGAGCGTCCTGCCCCCGCATGTGCTGTGCCGCCTACAGGGCCAGCCGCTCAGGGATGGAGAGGAGGTGGTTCAGCTGCTGGAGGGCGTGCCCCGAGACACCAGCCACGCGGGGCCACTGGTGAGACGGGGCTGTAGGGCCGGCGGAACAAGAGCGGTAGGGGCCAGGGGTCGGCAATGGATTCCCTCAAGAAGAAAGGTCTGCGGACTCCACCTGTCTCCATCTGTGACTAGAACCCTAGAGCTCAGGCTGCCCATCACCACAAAGGTGTTTAGAATTTAGCAGATTAACATCCCCAGCCAAACAGGAAAACTGCCTCCCGGCTCGTCTCCAGGCAGCGAGAAGGGGTGGTGGCTCCAGTCAGGCCAGTCAGTCATCATACTAAGTGTCATCCTCCCTGTGGTCTAGACTGTGTCTCCCTATGTAGCCCCGGCTGTCCTGTATCTCTGTGTAGACCCTTCTGGCTCTGAACACACAAGTTGTGCCTGCCTCTTGCCTCTGCCTCTGGGGTGCTAGGATTGAGGTCTTTCTTCACCCCACCTCGCCTCTGGCCACATTTCCACGGCTTGTCACGTCTGAGCCACGCTCTCTTCTTGTTCCTTTGATGTCTAGCTAGTTCCTGCTGCTATCAGCTTTGGGCTCTAGAGGCACCTGAGCCAGCACAGGCTCTAGCTTGGGGCAAACCAGGAACAGTGCGGCTTGCTGGGTGGCTCATAGCATGAACTGCATGTACATTCCCTCCCCTGGTGTAAAATGCAAATGGGCTCTTCTAATGTGGAGTATGAAAGCGCCCCTTCTGTGGTGGGGCACCACGTGGTTGCTGGGAATTGAACCCAGGACCTTTGGAAGAAGAGCAAGCACTCTTACCCTCTGAGCCATCTCTCCAGCCCCCGCCAACTCATTCTTAGCTATGTGACTCTCCCTGTGTCTCTGTCCTGTCTCGGTAGACTCAAGTAGCCTGTGGATGGAAGGCAGCCTGTCTGCCTCCTCAGACAGATGTTTTCAACAGGATTTTAGCTTCAGTGCTGCCAAGAGCGCTCCTGCAGACAGCATCTCAAAGGGACAAAACAGCCCTTCCCAGGTCCCTGGCCACAGCCCCAAAAGGGAGCTACCCTCGGAGGAGACCCCGGTGGCTCATCGGTTCAGTGAATCATCCGCGCCTCAGGCAGTGCCCGTCCGGCCTGCTGACCCCGAGGAGTGGACGCTCGCTCCGAGTTCAAATTGGCCAGTGAGCCCGGAGCCCCAGGAGATATTCCAGGACCTGCCAGAAAGCAGTGAGGAGCTGGTGACCCTGGCGTTCGGGGAGAGAGACTGGACGTGTGGGTGGGGAGCCGGAAGTCGGGGAGGAGTGTGTGGTGAGAGTGCTGGCTTTGGAGTGTGGCTGGTTACGGCCTTGAAGCCTGGCATAGCCGACAGTCTAACACCTGTCTTCTCCCAATGCTCTCAGACCCCTCTCAGGCCCCCCCATGGCTTGAGGAGCATTCCAGAGACCAAGAGCTGGCAGCTGTGCTGGTAAGCTGAGCTGATCCCTCTCACAAGTCTTTCTCGGGCCCAGGATGTTCTCCACTCCGCCTTTTAGCAATCCATGTTTCCTTCTATTTAATCCCAGAAAGTGTGCCCATCTGACTCAGGCCACCGAGCACATTCCTCACTCACGGGGGTCTTGGCTCTCGTTGCAGGAGTCCCTTACCTTTGAGGATTCCTCAGATAAGAAAGCCTGGCCTGCAAACCCTCTCGGTAAGCTCCTCCACAGTCCTGGCCACTGAAGGCTCCTCGCTCACAGTCCCAGGAACCATCAGGCTTTCTAACCTGTTGCTGGGTGGATGCTGCCAGAAGCTGTGTGAGTGTGTGTGTGTTCATTTACTAATAGTGGCACCCATAACTAAATCTAGCAACTGTCTGCTCCCCCCCCCCCCATAGCAATCATTATTCTTAGACGAGGTCTCACTATGTAACTCAGGCTGATCATCAACTCAAGACCCACCTGCCACTACCACCTGAGAGCCTTCACTGCCGCACCCAGCATAATACCTACACACATAAAAAAGGGAAGAGAACTGGCCAAGAAAGAGGCTGCTAGTGGATATGAGATAGCTGTGACTGTTGCATGCCATTGTAAATGTATTTAGTGGACCTTAATTGGATGCTTTAAAGGGCTGTGGCGGAGTCAGGACACGGTGGCTTGTGGTGTAATCCCAGCATTTGGGAGGCTCAGGTAGAGGGATTCCTCATTACAGGCAATATGGAGAATCTGTCTGAAGACAGCAGGAAATAGAGGGGTAGAGAACAGGGGCGTTCTTTCTCGAGACAGGGTTCCTCTGTGTAGTCTTGACTGTCCTGGACCCACTTTACGGGCGTGCGCCATCACGCCCAGCCAACAAAGACATCCTTATTTGTGGTCAAGTTCTGCCCATCGCCACCTTTGCAGGATCCTGGGTTTCTTTCCACTTCTAAACCCATCAGGTTCTGATAACGCAGACAGCTCTTTCGGAAAGACCAGACAACAACCACAACAGGTTGTTATTATGCTGCTGCTGCTTGTTCTTCTCTTCTTGGCTGTTGGTTTTCAAGGCAGGGTCTCTACGTGGCTCCGGCTGTTGTGGAACTGTCTGTGTAGACCGGGCTAGCGGCAAACTCTGCCTCTCAAACTGCTGGGATGGAAGGCGTGCGCCGCCAACCCAGGCCTCCGCCTTCGCTTCTTTTCCAGGATTTGGGAGCAGAATACCCGACAAGGAGGAGCTTAAAGCCGAAGAGCCTCAAGCGACTGCTTGGCCTGTCGTCCCAGAGCTCCAGACAGAGAACCCGGGAGTCCCAGGAGAGGCCCTCACACTAGGGCAGGAGACGAGCGGTGTTGGTTGGGAAGGGGCCCCGGCTGAGGGCGGTGAGGTTGTGGCGGCCAGGGTGGCTGCAGACGGCCCGCAGCCGCAGGCGGAGACGCAGTTCATCTGCACAGAGTGCGGGGTGAACTTCCGGAAGATGTCCCAGCTGAAGACCCACCAGCTGCAGGCCCACCCCGGCTCCCGAGCCCACCTGAAGGCCCGCTCCTTCCAGTGCCTGTGGTGCGGGAAGGTTTTCGGGCGCAGCTCCATCCTCAGGCTGCACGTGCGCACGCACACCGACGAGCGGCCGCACGCCTGCCACCTGTGCGGCCACCGCTTCCGCCAGAGCTCGCACCTGGCCAAGCACCTGCTGACGCACACCTCCGAGCCCGCCTTCCGCTGCGCTGAGTGCGACCAGGGCTTCCAGAGGCGCTCCAGCCTCATGAAGCACCTGCTGGCCCACTCCCCGGAGCAGAAGCCCGGGGCGGACTCGGAGGGCAAGGGCAGGGCCAAGACGCCGGCCACGCCCGCCATCCCCTGCCCCCACTGCGGCCAGACCTTCCGGCGACACTCCAGCCTCAAGCGCCACCTGCGCGCCCACGCCAAGGGCAAGGACCGGGGGCCCTCGGGAGACCCCGGCGGGCCCCGCCCCCGGCGCGAGAGCAAGCCCCACGCGTGCGCCGACTGCGGCAAGGCCTTCCGGCGGAGTGAGCACCTGCTGGCCCACCGGCGCGTGCACACGGGCGAGCGCCCCTTCTCCTGCCAGGTGTGCGGCCGCTGCTTCGCCCAGAGCGCGCAGCTGGCCAGCCACCAGCAGGTGCACACGGGCGAGAAGCCCCACGCCTGCCCGCAGTGCGGGAAACGCTTCGTGAGGCGCGCCGGCCTCGTCCGCCACCTGCTGACCCACGGCGGCCTCCGGCCCTTCCACTGCGCCCAGTGCGGCAAGAGCTTCCGCCAGATGCGGGACCTGACCCGCCACCTGCGCAGCCACACGGGCGAGAAGCCCTGCCGCTGTAGCGAGTGCGGGGAGGGCTTCAGCCAGAGCGCGCACCTGGCCCGCCACCAGCGCATCCACACCGGCGAGAAGCCCCACGCCTGCGACACCTGCGGCCACCGCTTCCGCAACAGCTCCAACCTGGCCCGCCACCGCCGCAGCCACACCGGCGAGAGGCCCTACAGCTGTCCCACCTGCGGCCGCAGCTTCCGGCGCAACGCGCACCTGCAGCGCCACCTGGTGACGCACTCCGGGGCGAGGCCGGAGGCCGAGGCCTCCCAGGAGTGCCCCGAGTGCGGCAAGACCTTCAACCGCAGCTGCAACCTGCTGCGCCACCTCCTGGTCCACACGGGCGCCAGGCCCTACTCGTGCGTGCTGTGCGGCCGCGGCTTCAGCCGCAACTCGCACCTGCTGCGCCACATGCGAACCCACGCCCGGGAGACGCTCTACTGACCCCGCGGCCGGTCCCCCACCACCTCCCCGCGGGAGGCAGGTTCCCTGGGATGCCCCCTTCGCACCTCCCTCCTCCCGGTTCCTCCACCCTCCCCCCCCCCGCCCCCCCCCCCCCCCCCCCCCCCCCCACCCCAGCTGTGACCTCTTTCGCTGACCCCTGGCGTGTGTGTTTTTTTGTTTTTTTGGTTTTTTTTTTAGAGGTTTAAAATAAAGTTGCCTTCTCAAGATTGGTCTTTCTGATTTTTTTTTTTTTTTCTGCTCTTTTCTTTTTAGGGACAGGGTATCCTGTGGCTGGGGGTGACCTTGAACTTCTGGACTTACTGCCTTTACTTTCTGAGTGTTTGGCTTTCGGGTATGTGCCACCATGTATGGTTTAGGTAACGCTGGGCATCAAACCTAGGACCTTCAAAGCCAACACCCCACCTGCTGACCTGCGCCCCCTGTGCTGAGGAACCAACCCACGTCCTGTTGTAGCGCTGAGCTATTCTCTCCTGGCTGTAATGTAAGGCCGGCAAAGTGCCCACAGTCAGCACATCTCCCCCTGTGGCTGCGGAAGGCCCTCCAGCAGGCTGGGAAGGCAAGGGTGGCCAGCAGGGAGAAGCAGCCGAGGGCGGAAGGTCCGGCACTGTGGGCCTAGGGGTCTAAGTCAGCCCAGTACCGCACCTCAGGCTTCCAGTGCTCCTGGAACACATGACGATGGAATCCAGGGGCACGCCGGGAAACTTGGTGTGGATCCTTTCCCAAACTGAGCGTGCCAGCAATTGAACAAAGCCTGCTAGCAAGGCGATTGGGCTGTTGAGACCAGGCGACCAGCCATAATCCTCTAATTTAAGGCCGGCTCGGGCATTGGCCTATACCTGGACGTCACACATCAGGAAGTCTCAGCTACCTCCCAGCCTGTAAGTCACATGACTTGTGGTTTAAAAAACAAAACAAACAACAACAAAAGCAGGGTTAGAAAAAGGAAGGAGCATGGTGGTGGCACAGGCCTTTAGTCCCAGGCAGAGGCGGGTAGATCGCTGTGAGTTCGAGGCCAGCCTGGTCTACAGGGTGAGTTCCAGGACAACCAGCCAAGACTACACAGAGAAACCCTGTCTCCAAAGAGAAAAAAAGCGTGGTGGTGCACACGCCTTTAATCCCAGCACTCAGGAGCCAGAGGCAGGTGGATCTCTGAGTTTGAGGCCAGCCTGGTCTACAGAGTGAGTTCAAGGATGGCCAGGGCTTTACAGAGAAACTATGTCTCCAAAAAGAGAGAGAGAGAGAGAGAGAGAGAAATAAAAAAAGGAAAGGGGAAGAAGCAGGAGTTTAGAACTTCTGTCACATTCCTTTCCTGTTTTCCGTAATTGGCTGCTTTTCAAGGAAAAAGCTGTGTAGTTTCTCCTGGAGGCCTCCTTGAAACCCTGCTGTGTTTTAGCAGGAACTGGGCCCCACCCGGGGCTCTGTACAAGAGCTGACCACAGCAATAGGGGAAGTACAAACTGGCCTTTGTGCCCACGTGTTGCTGGGTATTAAATCAGAAACCCCACATGCTGTGTCTATGCTTTAACAGTGAGAAGCCCCCCAACCCTGGGGTGACTCCTGGGCCCAGCCAGCGGCAAGCTCTAAGCCCTGGGCGAGGTACAGCCCTCTGGAGGTTGGGAAGGTGGGGACATAGAAATTTACCCGGTTGTCACAGAATCCTTTCATTTCATGAAAGGCCCTGGAGAAGGGAACTTCAAACAGAAAGGATTAGTCAATAAGAGGCAGGAAGTGGGCACTGCGGAGCTACGCTCTATATGTCAAACACCTTCTGTGTGCCAGGCGCTATGTTGGGTTGTTAGGGGGCCGGCGTGAGGTGCCTTGCCTGGTGTGCGTAATTGGAGTCCCTGGTGGGCAGGCTAATGAAGGAGGAGGCCTGCTCAAGGTCTGCCAGGTGCAGGGAGGTAAAATGAGAACAGGAGGTAGCGAAGTGGGCAAGCTTCCGTCTGACGTGTGAGGCCCCCTGATTAAATTCTTAGCACTGTCAGAAAAATAAAGAAAACATCCAAACAAAGCTGCTCATGTTTGTAGTCCCACAGGAAGATCTTGGGTTTGAGGTCAGCCTCCACTGCATAACAAGACCCTGAATAAGGTCTGGTGAAATGGTGCAGGCCTTTCGTCCCAGCACTCTGCAGACAGAGGCAGGCAGATCTCTGTAAGTTCAAGACCAGCCTGATAGCTAGGGCTACATGGAAAGACTACCCCATAAATAAATAAATAAATAAATAGATAGATAGATAGATAAATAAAATAAAATTTAAGAAAAGACATTGCTTTAAAAATGAACCAAGAGGGCCTTGAGGGATGGCTCAGCAGTTAAGAACACCGGTTGCTCTTATAGAGGACTCAAGGTTCAATTCCTGGCACCTACATGGGGCTAAGCAGTCTCCAACTCTAGTACCCGGGATCTGAAGCCCTCTTCTGGGTTCCAGGGATGCTGCATGTATGGAGTGCTCAGACATATGTGCAGGCAAAACACCAGACACATAAAAAAATAATAAAACAAATCTTAAAAGGTGACAGAGCTGAGGGAGGTCAGCTAAGATCCCAGCCCTCTGGGAAGGGATTTAACTTTTATGTATATGTGTGTAGACGTGTGTACCACATGCCTGCAGAGGTCAGAAAAGGGCACCGATGCCCTGAAACTGGAGATACCACCATGCGGATGCTTCCGATCAAAACTGAAGATGAAAAATAAGAGCGTTTGCAACTGGGCATGAATTATCGAAGCTGACTGGATCAGAACAGAGCTCTACGGAAAAAGCCAACAAATATGGCCTCAGTCTGAGGCTCTAACTGGAAGCCAATAAGGCCAGCGAGGGATCACACAAGGCTCTGATGGCCTTTCACAGACCGTTAACTCATCTAACGGTAACACAGTACACAGTTGTTAGGCAGGGCCTGGGTTCTGGCTGGGGTCCTGGAACTCGGCGTCTGGACGGAGAACATGGTTCTGGTTCTCAGGGCAGCTAGAACTCTTTAGGGTGAGGCCGAGTGTGCTAAGCCAGGGTGTGGAAAAGGTTTTCCACAGAGTGTTACAGTTTGAGATCGATGGTGGCAATGGAAGCTTGGGTGAGAGCCTGAGGCGACAGCAAAGTGCTACAGCTCTCGGTCAAGCTCTGTGCTGAGTACGGGAGGGGCGCAGGCCAAGGCCCCTGCCTGGTCGGCTTGCAGCCAAGACACAGGCCTGGCAAGACCCAGGCCGGAGGGCAGAGGGCAGACCTGGTGAGAAGTGACCCAGCAGAGGATAAATGATGAATCTCAGACAGTCTTGAAGTGAGAAAGCGCAAACCTTTATTCATGTTTAACCAAGGGCAATGTAAACCCTGGGAAGAGAGAGAGATTTCGAGGGTGAATGTGTTTGGTTCCAGGGGGTCAGGGATACTTGACACAAGAAGGAAAATACAGCACTTCATTATCCAATGTAGGGCCTGGGAGGTCTCCAAGTCCAGCTGAAGGTCAGGGACTAAGCCTTAGCAGGGGAGCCATTTCTCGGAATTCCTAGATGCTTGCTAGAGCAGTTTCCTTATGGGGAAGGGACCTGCCTCCTTGCAAGACCTGAGGTCACTCAGATCAGGGGAGACTCTTGGAACCCCGCTTGGAAAAGGGAGTCTAGCATCATAGACCGAGCACAGACAATTGGCTGTCCAGAGACTTCAGCCTTATCCAGCAGGGCCCCACACTAATCTTCGAGTGAAATGATTCTCTAAAATCCCCCCAGAGTCCAGCAGAGACCATCCTGCAGACAGGACGAGGGCGATGAGGGGAAACTACAGCTGCATCCTGGTACTGCCTCCTGACAGTCAGCCTGTCCCCTTGTGCTTGTACGTCCTTGAAGCTCACATCCCCCCCCAAACTAACCGGCAAGGACCCTCAACCTATATACCTGTGCCAACAACTGGTCTGAATCCTTTGGACACCCCTTCCCTTTTGTGGAGCTAACAATGGAATTATCCTAAAAGGAAGATTTGGCCCACCATGATTTGAGGAGAAAGGGTCCTATTACCCAATAAATATTCCACCTCATCGGTATGCATAATAAAACCTCACTGGTTGAGTCCATTAGGCTGCTTCCCACCTTGGGGTAGCCCACTCAATCTCTTTTCAGAGGGCTCTGCTTGGCCAGCTTGGTTCTTTTGCCTTACTGAATGAACGACTCAAACTGCCAACGCCTGGACTGCATTCATTCCTTCAAGGAAACAAGAATCTCGAGAACGCAAGGAGAGGTGGTCCCTGGGAGAGAAGGCAGGGCTCTGAGAAGACCAGTGCCCAGTCCCTCACAGCTCACATCTCCCAGACTGTTAACGTACAGATTCCTGGTCACTTCCCCAGAATGAAGGGAATGGAATCTGCACTTTTTTTTTTTTTAAGATTTATTTATTTATTATTTATACAGAATACATGTATGTCTGCCGCCAGAAGAGGGCACCAGATCTCGTTATAGAGATGATGAGCTATGAGCCACCATGTGGTTTCTGGGAATTGAACTCAGGACCTTTGGAAGGGCAGCCAGTGCTCTTAACCTCCGAGCCATGTCTCCAGCCCAGAATCTGCATTCCCAAACACCGATGGGAAGTTGAATGGTGGTGGCACACGCCTTTGATCCCAGCACTGGGAAGGCCAAGGCAGGCACATCTCTGTGAGTTAAGGTCAGCCTGGTCTACATGATGAGTTCCAGGACAGCCAGCCCCCCCCCCCCCCCCCAACACACACACACAGCCTTGAAGAAAAACAACAATTCCCATCTGATATGGACTATTCTAGAAGCAATGATCTAGGTCATGACTGTGAGGAAGCTGGGTTGAAGGAAGCTGCCTCAGACTTCGCTCCTCACCCTGGGAGTGCCAAGAAGGCAATGGGAGAGACTGCAGCCGGGCTCAGCGGTTAAAAGCTGCTCTTGTAGAGGCCCTGAGCCCTACGTCCCTGACTCACAACAGCTCCAGCTCCAAGAAGATCCAGCATCTTTGGTCCCCTCAGGTTCCTGTATCTCAGGCACCCCACCCCCATCCCCGCAGACACGGAATTAAAACTAAAATGTTAGGAGGGGAACGGGGAGGAGGAGGAGGCGGCAGCAACAGCATCGCTGAGGGGTCCTGCCTTTCCCGCAGCACCGTGCAGGTGGGAGCCAAGCTGTGCTGAGAGGAACCTATGTTCCTTTCAGTTGGTGACAGAGGCGGGTCCGGCGGGCTCCCTTCCAACTGAATCAGGCAGTCCTGAGTTCGGGGTGAACCTCCAGGTTGTGTGCTGGGAAGAAGGGGGGGGGGGCCTGAAATGACACCAGCGGGGCCAAACACGGAGAAATCCCATCCACGTCACCGCTGACGTCAGCCAGGACCTGAAGCTCACGCTCAGAGGAGGTTAGCAGCGCTCGCCCTACCTCCCTGCCCTGTGGGAGAGCATGCCAAGAAGACTCGGAAACGTACTCATCGGCTTCAGGGGGTACTGGGGTTCGACCTTGGTCCCGTTTAACCGTCTAGGCAGGTTGCCGTCACCGCATGTCACCAGTACGACCAGCTGTGGAGAATCGGGAGCGCACATCCCCAGAAAGCGAGTCAGCTCGGCAGGAGCCAGCTCACAGCCTAGGTGCGTTGTCCCCTTCCTTCGAGGAGCCACAGCAGAGGGCGGGCGCTGGGTTCGATCCGCGTCCTCGGCGGCGGAGAAGGGTGCACACCGCCTCCTGGCGGCCGCCCTGACTGCGGCCACAGCCCCCGCGCGCCAACCGCCAGCCGGCTCCGGGACGCCCGAGGTGTCCGGGTGCTCCGGCGGGGAACCGCCCGGCTCTGTGCCCCTGAGTCCCGCCGGGGGTGCAGACAGAGAGGCTCCGAGGCGTCTCGGGCCCCTAGGCCAGGCCCAGCTGCGGGAACCCGGCTCCCTGCAGCTGGGAAGGGCCGGGTTTCAGCACGAAAAGAGGGCTCCAGCCAGCAGGGGCAGGAGGGGCAGCAGGGGCAGCAGGGGCGTGGAGAAGAGCTGCTCCGAGGCTTGATTGAGCTCGCAGTGACAATTACAGCTTCTGGTTTGGGGGGTCGTTTTCGAGGGGGTGGGGACTCGAGGACCCGAGCTGGGGTCGGGACAGTCCAGCCACGTGGGCCCCATGGGCTGGGGGGAGTCCGGCTCAGATTTGACACTGCCCTTGGCAAAGCGCCAGAAGCGGGTGCCCTTGAAGAAGTAGGTGTCGCCTGTGGGGGAGGAGGGACCTCAGCGCCCCGGCCCAGGCCTGCCCCAAAGCTGCGGGCCAACCCCCCCCCCACGCCACCCCTTCTCCTCCATCCTCCCGCCCCCTTCCCACAGCCTGCAGGTGAGGCCCCCGGCGCTCCCGCACCTGTGTTGTCGTTGGTGACATCGTCTGGGGCAGGGGGCGCCCCCTCCCAGAGACTCAGGACGCGAGGGTAGCCGGGGTCCAAGCGCGCAGCCGCCTCGTCGTACCGCCAGTACCGCTGGCCCCGGATCAGGTAGGTCTTGCCGTTGAGAGGCCACGAGAACACGGCATCCACCTCCTCGCCCGGGGGCAGCCCGAACTCAGCCAGGGGCCGCGCCGGGCCCTCCAGCTGCCGGTCCCGGAACACCCAGAACTGAGGGCCTGGAAGGGGTCACGTTGGTAACCCAGGGAGGGGCCTGGGAGGGAAGGCTCCACGGACCTGCCCCAGCCGGTCCCCACGACCCCTACCCACCACTGAAGAGAATGATTCGGCCATCCAGGGGTCGGGCGTAGGCGGCCTGGATGACCCTCACGTGGGTTGGCAGCCCCTCCCAAAAGCGGTACAGCCCAGCGGGCCGGGGTGACACCAGCTGGCCTGAGGGCTGGACGCGCCAGAACCACGGGCCTGCGGGGGGAGACGGGAATGTGACCTGGTTCCTTCCCTGATGTCCCTCTATCCGATCCGGTGAGTGCCTGGGCAGGGGGAGGATCACTCGAGGAACACGAGTTCGTGGCTTGCCCAGATAATTCACACACACACACACACACACACACACACACACACACACACACACACACCATCACCACCACCACCAATCCCACCTCCCCAGGAAACTTGGCAGCCTGGGCGTGTCACTTCAGTGTGTAAGGAGCCTTGTATGCGGATGCAAGGGCCATCCAGAGTGACTGACCTTTGAAGAAGAAGATCTCCCCTCGGATGTTGGCGATAGCATCAAAATTGCCCTCGCAGCGGTCAGGCACCGGCGTGGAGGGGCTGCGGAGGGAGGAGCGGCGGTGAGCGGGAGGCGGGGCCACTGTTCCTCGCTCGCTCGCTCGCTAACTTCAGTCTGGCATGGAAGAGCGCTTCCCGCCCCTGTCCTTTGTGCGCTGGTGTGCGTGTGCGTACTGGTGCATACATGTGCATAATGGCTGATAATCCCTGCTTTCCTTGGCTGCTCTTTGCCTTGTTTCTTGGGTTTGTGTGTGCACGTGTGTGTGTGTTTGTTTTAAGGATTTATTTATTTATTTTATTTTGTGCATACAAGTGCTCTATCTGCATGTACACCTGCTGGGGATTGAACTCAGGACCTCTGGAAGTGCAGTCTTAGCCTCTAAGCCATCTCTCCAGACCCTTGTGTTTGATTTTTGAGACAGGATCTCTCTGTGTAGCCCTGGCTGTCCTGGAACTTGTTATGTAGACCAGGCAGGTCTTGAACTCACAGACCCCTGCCTGCCTCCACCTCCCGAATTTGGGGATTAAAGGTGTGCACCCCATACCTGGCTTCCACCAGCTCTCTTGCTCAACTGGAGCGCTGGCCCTGCCAATGAGCTTCAGGAATCTGCCCGTCTCTGTCTCCTTGAGTGACGGAGACAGACCTACACCTCTGGCTTTTTACACGGCCCTCACTCAGCCACTTCACTAAAGGGCTATTTCGTTCTGTGTAACTTTTAATTATGTTTGTGTAAACAACAGGTGTGTGGGTTTCCCAGAAGGTCACAAGGAGTCAGATCCTCCAGAGCTGGAGTTACAGGTGGTTGTGGGCTGCTTGAAGTGGGGGCTGGAAACTCATCTTAGGTCCCCTGACAGAGCAGCAAGTGCTCCTAAACACTAAACCATCTCTCCAGCATGTCCAGCCCCTTGCAGTGGAGGACACTGAGCCAGAGAACGCTCACACGGCTGATAGGGCACTCACCTGTCAGGGGGCATGACTGGAGGCCTGGGGGGCGGAGCCAGGGGTTTCCTTGTGGGCTTGGACGGAGTTTGGGATGCCTTTCCTGTGGGGAGAGTCAGACCGGTATGGGTTCCCCGGACCTGCTACCTGGCACTGGTTCAGGGCGTCCCCTTCCCATACCATAGAGCTGCTGCAGTCCTTCACGGTCATCCTGGGACAAGCGGTATTTGTCAGGGTCGCCCACTGGGCCCTGGTAGAAGGGCCGCATGATGGAGCCGGGGGCAGAAGAGTGGCCGAGCCCGAGGGCGTGGCCGAACTCGTGAACTGCTACTGCAAAGAGGTCAATTCCTTTGTCATCTGGGGAGAGAGGAAAGAAGGCTGAAGCTGAGGTCACCGTGCATCGGGAGAGGAGCACGGGGACGGGGGCCTGCTGTCCAGGAGGAAGACCCGGGAACCCCTGGGGTGGGAACAACGCCACCCGCTCTGCCCTGCTCCCTCCTGAATAGTAGCATCATTCCTGTATTCCTCCACCCATTCAGCAAATGTTTTTGAGGAGGTCTTTTTGCCAGTAGTGATATTGGGACATGGGGTGGAAGAAATCCAAAAAGACATTAGAAAGGTCCCCTTATGCTTTTGTAGTCCCTCACCAGGAAAAGAAAACTGTGTATAAAAATTCAGGAGGCAGGAACCTGGGGTGCCCGGTGCTTGGAGAGCACCCCGCCCAACTTCAGCCTATGGTTTGTGATCCCCACTCTAGCCAGGTGGTGGGGGCATCGCTGTAATCCCAGCATTTGGGAGGCAGAGGTAGACAGGTCTCTGTGAGTTTGAGGCCAGCCTGGTCTACATTATAAATTAAAGTCTAGCAAGGACTACATAGAGAAACTGTTTCTAAAAGGAAGGAAGGAAGGGAAGGAGGGAGGGAGGGAGGGAGGGAAGGAAAGAGAGAGAGAGAGAGAGAGAGAGAGAGAGAGAGAAAGAAGGAAGGAAGGAAGGAAGGAAGGAAGGAAGGAAAGAAAGAAAAGGGAGAAAAGGGAGAAAAGGAAACCCCAACTCCCACTCCACCCACCTTCTTCAGCTCAGGCTCTCTTTGATTCCATTCCCTCCCATCCTTAGTCCTTAGATCCACATTTTCAGGTCATTTCCCAGACCTCACATCTCCTCTCCCGAGGGCCTTGCCTCTCCGACTCGCAGCCCTCCTTTATCTTCAGAAGACAGAGCTCCCCACAACAGGCACTCTCGGACCACAGCGCGCTGCCCTGGCGCCCAGCCTCACTCCCAATCTCTTCCCACCACAGTGTTTCTTCCCTGGGGATCCACCAGGTCAGCACAGAGCCTCTTCAGGCTTGGCTTCATCGATCTCTGACAAAAAGCCCTGCCCGGAAGAGACTAAGACAGCTACCAGAGGCAGGCAATCCCCCCAAGGCCCAGATTTCTGAATGCTGCTCTACCTCACGGTTTCCAACCAGTATTAATGACACTGGATGTGAGATTATTGGAAATGACTGGTGAGCTGAAGAGCAACTTGCCCTCGGCTCCTGAGACCACAAGAGAAATAACAAGGAAAAGCTTACTTCTTTTTTCTTTTTCTTTTTTATAAGCCTGTGTCTTACTATGTGGTCCTGGCTAGACTTTTAATCGCTCTGCAGACCAGGTAGACCTTGATGCAAAGTGCAGGTACTACTGGCACATGCCACGATACTTGGCAGATTAGGCAGATCCTAAGAGCAGCAAATGCTGGACTTCATTACACCTCAGACCTCAGTCTTTCATTGTTTTAGGAGGGAAAACAGAGGCATCAAGGTTGGACGCAGAGCTGGGATGGAGGCCGAGTGCCCTGCTGTGGCCCTGCCCTTTGGCAGCTCATGTCTGCGGAGGAACCTGTCCAAACTACACTTGAACTTCCATGTTGGCTGCCGGGCAGCTTATTGCTCCGAATCACTTCACTGAGAAAACAGGAAGCCCGGTGTCTCAACCAGGGCATCGCTTTCTTCTCTCTCCTTCCTTATCTCTTGGGGCAACTTGGCTTCCAGGGCCAGGAACCCCCTCCAGCACCTCTTCTCACGCTGTGCAGACAGGGAAAGCTGCTTCATCTCCTAACTAACCCCGAGAACCTTGGTGGGAGATGTGCAGCGTCCCCATCGCCAACTGTCTTTCTTGTCTTTGGCCTAAAAGGTGGCTGCTTTGATCCTCTCAACCTCTATTCTAGGTCCACAGCCCCTCAAAGGCGGGACCCAGATTCAGTCCCCACCTTCCATGTGACACATGCTGGCAAGTATGCCTCCTATGTCATCACGACAGGCAGGGCTGGGGGTATAGCTCAGTTGGTAGCACGCTTGCCCAGCGAGTGTAGAGTCCAGGTTTGATTCCCAGCACAACACCCTCGGAGCATGCAGGCACAAAAAGGTCTCTTGTCCCCACGTAACCAAAATCAAGGTTTGTTTGTGGTGTTGCTATGTCTAACCACTTCCTCTGGTTCTTATTCATCACATTTCAGCCTGTCTTCTCCCTACCTCCATTGCTTAAGGTTTGGGTTCTTTTCCAAGACGGCGTCTCTTGCCTGCTGGCCTAGAACTCTCTATGCAGATCGTCCACCGGCTCCTCCCTTGTGTGGGCCACCCTGCCTTTCCCTCAGATGCTGAGAGTATAGGCATGGACCACCACACCCACTTCTCCATCTCCCTTAATTCCTCCTCCCCGGTCACTACTTCTTAACTTTGAGGCTCTCCATTGCTGTTCTTGACTTTCAAATTCTCTCCTCTCTTCCTTCCGGGCAACCTCGCCTACCCCTCTCCGAAGGCTCGGCTCCGAGAGCAGCTGGCACTGCAGTCAGCGGCACTGCAACAGGGGCTCAGGAGGAGGAAGAACACAAACCACGCGGTCAGCGGGCGCCCTTCTTACGTCCCCCCTCAGCCGAGGAAACGGTGCAACAGGGCAGCGTCATTTTACTTACCGAAAGTGGAGGGACCTACTGGCTTAGCTTTGAAGCTGAGCTAGTTGCTGGGGAGGCGAGGCTCCGTGCGAGAGCCGCTGCCACGTCCTCGCAAGCTCCTGGCCTGCATCTCTAGCCTCGAAGCGCTGCAGCGGCTGCCTTGCTGTCAGAGTCTGTGACTGGCTGCCAGTGCCCGCAGAGCCTGGGCAGCAAGCAGACCCACCATCTCCTCCCCCCTCCTTCCTCAGCACAGCAAATGACCGAGGAATACACAGCAGAGAAGAGTGGCCCCACGTCCTTGTTCGGCTCTATCCCCCCTCCTGCTTCCCTTTCCGCTGAGGACCCTTCCCCTTGAGAAATTACTTGCTTAAGAATTTCTATCTGGCTGGGCCGCGGGGGCACAGGTCTTTAATGGCAGCACTCTGGGAGGCAGAGACAAGCAGATCTCTGTGAGTTTGAGGCCAGCCTGGTCTACAGAGTCAGTCCAAGACAGCCAAGGCAACACACACACACACACACACACACACACACACACACACACACAAAGACCCTGTCTGGGGGGAAAAAGCGGGGGCTGGGGGAGCAGGGTTGATTAGGGATTCAGTACAGGAAGGGAGGAAGGCAGGGAAAAAAAAAAAAAAGAATTTCTACCTGGGGAACCTGATAGGGCAGAACTAGGAGTCCAAGTTCTAGAGGGGGTGCGCACCCTCTGTGCCGCCTGTACAGAGCATGCCCGAGCTGCCAGCACACCCAGACCTGTACTCACCCGCCCCCCCGCCTGCCCGATGCTCCCTCCCCAGTGTGCACTAATATAACAGTAGCAGCCTTCCAGGGTGCCAGCTGAACCTGGGCCTCAGCTCATCCTCCTTGCCACCAGGGGATCTAGTCAGCTTTCGTCCTGGGCCTGTTCTGACTTCCCTCAGATCGAGCTAGCCCTCCACTGTCAGCCCCCAGTCTCTCACCTGGGCTCTGGCCACTTCCTGCCTCTCGGCCTCTCTCCTCTCCTCCTCTCCGCCTCCCCGTGCATCCAGGAATATTTCTAGGATGCAAAACTCCTTGATGTGTCCTCATCGCTTCCTGAATCCTGTTGTTCAAATTCTGCTTACTTTTCAAAACCCTTCGCAGTGTAGGGCCCACAGTCACCTGGGACATCATTCCCGCTGAGGGCATGGGTGTTCCAGACTGCATCTCCCCTCAGTGGCCCCACCCCTGGCTACGTGGCACTCAGCCACCTGGCTGGCTTGCCTGTTCTCCCTGTGTCCCTTGTACCTATGCACTTCAGATGAATAAGATCAATCTCTGTAGCCGAGGCTGGCCTTCATCCCACTATGTAGCCTCGGGTTGGCCTCAGACTTGCTTAGAATCCCGATGTTGCCTTCCAAGTACTAGGATTATGGGTGTGCCTCACACGGCTTAGAACTCTGTCTTAAAGTAAGGGTGCTTGTCTTGAGTTGGGGTCTTGCTCCGTGCCTTCAGCTGGCCTCAGTCTCAGAATGCCCTCGACCCAGCTGTTCAAGCCCTGGGATGGCGAGCATCTGCTGTTAGCCTTGGTGCCACCACTTCCGACGTTCGTAGAAGCAGAAAGTGTCACCACTTCTAGTAAGCCCGCCCTGCCCAAGAGCACTGGGCTGCCCCTCCTCAGGAAGCGCAAGCCGAGAACTTCCTCCGCTGTGATTTTTGGTGATTGTGTAAGTGTGTGGTAAGTGCCAGCTGCCCTTCTGCTTGAACTGATGGATGGAGAGGTGTTTTTTTTTTTTTTTAATCTATTTTTTATTTTATGTGCATTAGTGTGAGGGTGTCAGATCCCTTTGAATCAGCATTACAGACAGCTGTGAACTGCCATGAGGGTGTTGGGAATTGAACCCTGGTCCTTTAGGAAGAGCAGACAGTGCTCTTAACCAGTGAGCTATCTCTCCAGCTCCCAGTGTTGGTGGTTTTTTATTTTTATTTTTATTTTTTTTGTTTGTTTGTTTGTTTTACACCAGCTCTGAGCTGTGTGCCTGAAAGGCCTCTGCACTGGGAATTTTGAGTTGATTTGGTTGTGCCTCAGTGGACTGACCAAGCACCGGTCCAGATGATGCTGTGAAGGTTTTTGGAGATTTGGCTACCATCTGTTCTCCGTGAAGCCACCCCTGTGCAGACCGGCCCTGAGGGCAGACATGGAGGGTTCTGGGAGGGAAGGAACTCTGTCTCAAGACTAACAGGGGTCTGGCATGCCTTACACATTTTGGCCATGCCAGCTCCCATAATCCTCATAAGTCACAGTTCCTTAAAGTAAATCTCTTTTAGGAGAGCTTAAATAGTAAGCTTAGAACAGTGAGCTCAATGCCAGCCTGGGCTACAATAATAAGACCAGGTCTCGGGGGGGGGGGGAAACTACTTTTAAAAGATTTTTGGGCGGAGGAGGCTGTGGACTGGGGAGGTGGCTTAGCGGTTAGGAGTACTGGCTTTTCTTCCACAGGACCCAGGTTCAGTTCCCAGCACCCACATGGGGTATCATACCCATACGCAATGCCAGTTCCACACCCTCTAATGGCTTCCTGACAGGGAACCTGGCGGTGTACATGGTACACAGACATGCCTGCAGACCGGACACCCGTTCACATAAAATTAAGAAACATTTTATTGTTGTTTGTGTGTGTGTGTGTTTGTTTGGGATGCAGGCCCCTACTATAGCCCTGGCTGGGCTCACTATGTAGACCAGGCTAACCTCAAACTCAGACAGCCACCTGATTCTGTCTCATGAGTTCTGGGACTAGAGCTGTGTGTGTGTGTGTGTGTGTGTGTGTGTGTGTGTGTGTGTGTACATACTGACACATTAAACCCCTACATGCTACACCAGCAGGGTGCCACTGTGCTATACTATATCACATCACAGCTTTCCTCAGTCAATTACTTTAAATCTAGTTCTTCAGCCCAGGCCGACCTGAAGAGGGGCCACTCTAAAGATGGAAAGTTTTACCTTCTGACCTGAAGGTCCAGGTCTCCTCATCATCAAAGTGAGTGTCTCCAGAGATGGAGTGCTCCCCAGGGAAGAAGGCATGAGCCAGGGTACCACCGGGCCCGTCAAAGGGATAACTGTCCTGGTGGTAGGCCCGGGCAAAGTGGATAAGGATGTCAGGCTCCGGATGCTGAGAATCTACCTCCTGGAATGTGAGGTTTGACTCAACAGCCCAGACAGACAGAGCATAGCTCATGAGGGTCCGCACGGTCTCCCGACTCAACTGCGAGCTCTGGGAGAAGGACTGGATGCTGAGGAGAGAGGAGAAGATCCGGTGACCGTGGAGGAAATGGCCCTCCAGCCAACTCTGGGGCCTAGTCGGCAGGCCAAGACCTACCTCCACGTCAGGGTTCGCTTCTTCCACACGCTGCCGCTCAGAGCGTAGCGACGACGGCGCCTGACCAGCCCGGCAGGCCCCAGGATGTCAGGCAGCGAGCAGCGGGGCTTGTGCATGGTGGCTATTGTCACCGGGTCTGTGGAGGACAGCAAGGCATGGTGTGCCATAGGTCAGTCTGTCACGATGATACCAACCAACTAAGCAATTGACCCAAATATTAATGGAGATGAAAAGGTGGCTCAACGCTTAAGACCACTGGCCCCTCTTCTGGAGGAGCTTCTGTCTTAGCGCCCTTCAAGTGGCTGACAATGGCTCCGTTTCAGGGGATCTTCCGGCCTCCGTGAGGTGTAGACAAACAGGCCAAACACCCAAATACATAAAATAAAAATAAATCTTTAAGAGGGAAAGAAATTGGGTAAGACTTCACAGCCTGGGTGTGAACCCAGACAGGCACTGAGTGCGAATCCAGACAGGCACTGTGAAAGCCAGCTTAGGCCGGACACCCTCTCCGAGAGACCATGGGTGCACTGGCCACTGTATGAGCACTTAGAGGCTTCAGCTTGGGTCTCTGTACCACGTCTCCAGCCCCAGAGGGACTGTGTGTGTGTGTGTGTGTGTGTGTGTGTGTGTATAGGGGCACCTATGTGTACCCGTGAGCAGGGAGAACAGAGCTCAACCCTGGTCATCACTCCTCAAGTGACCCCAAAGACCTGCATCTCTGCCTCCTACGTGCTGGGATTGAAGGGCTGTGCAGCCATCACCCTGCCTGGCTTACGTCTTCATGGGTTTTGCTGATCAAAGGCTGAGGACCAGCCAGGGTCTTCTTTCCCCTTCTCAAATTCCGTCTATCTGGAAACCCCCTTTCTAGATCACCCCCCTTTCAGAAGTCATTTCACCCTCAGGTGAGGTCAAACCGTGTCTCACTGGTGGCTACAGCTAAGAGTAGCCAAGCGTATGCAGTGATGGTATACCCGTTCTAGGCTGTGTGGGAATGAATGGCCAGCGGGAGTGGTTTTGTCTTGTGGAGACTGAAGGTTCTCTGAGCTCCCTCTGCCTTTCTATCTAACTCCACGGGGGAGCCCTCAGTCATACCTCCAAAATCCACCCCCTGAACTCAGCTTCTTCCATATTCCCACCCTACCTCCCAGCACCACCTGCAAACGTCTCCTCCCCTTCTCCACCCACCCTCCAATCAGTCAACAAAGGAAGCTTAAGACCAAACCTTTTGCTGAGCACAAAGGCGGGTTAACTGTACCCCACCTACTCGGTGGGGCTAAAGCGTGAGCTGCCCCCACAACAGAACAAACAACAGAACCCTGCGAAGCTGCTGTCCTCCTCTGAGCCCTCCTCCCCCTGGTTTCTTTGGAACAAACCTCTTTCCAGGTCACCTGACCCGGTTCTTGCCTAAACCCCTCAGCCTGCCTTTCACTCCAGGCAGATAAACTTTGCCTGCCACAGTTGAAGTTGAGAATACTTCTGATTCAGTTTATAAACTCACGTGACACCTTTCAGAGCAGCCTACTCAGCCGGATGCAGTGGTACAGGCCTGGAATTCCAGCACGCAGGCTGAGGCACGAGGATCATGAGTTCGAGGCCAATCTGTGCTTCGTAGGAAGACTGTCTCCAAAATCAGTGGCCCACCCTAATCAGACTAGCCCTCAGCATCAGAGTGGCACCATCTGAAATCATCCGTATACATCCGCTCTTGACTTGTCTCTTTCTCCTTCAGAATGTCACCTCCAGAGAATGGGGACCAGATCTGTTCTATCCCTGCTGCATCGGAGCCTGACAAAGCCTGGCCCGTGAGAGTCCCGGGAAAGGTTACCCGGATGCCAGCAGGCTTCCAGGGTCTGGGTTGGGGCCGAGACCACCATCTTCAGACCTACCTCTTGGGATTCAGGCACTCCCTGCGGTTTAAAGACTGCGGGCCAATCCCAGAAGCAAGCGGGCTACCTACCCATTTGGCCCGTCTCGGGCAGCCCGGCAAATCTCTGCATGACTTTGACGGCATCCTGCAGCTTCTGGCGGCTCTGCAGCTGGGCTTGGGTAGGATCCGCCGGCGGCAGGTAGCCGTAGCGAGTCAACCAGTCCTAGGCCGTAGGAGAAGGTTGGTGAAACCCTAAAAGGGCGGGGCTTCCCCTTCTCACCACTGTCTGAAAGTCCCGCCCTCCAGGGGATCCAGAAAGAGAGAGCTCGTAGGCTGGACGGTAGAACCCATCTCCCCCAAAACACACAGCCGCGGTCCTCGCCCCCCCGCCCCCAGCCCTGGGGTTGTCAGGCTGTATGGACCCTGCTTCCCGTTTCAGCTCCTTCCCGGACTTGCGAATCCCAGTCAGCAAACCTCCAGGTAGAACCGGCAATCCAGAGCCCCATGAACCACCCCCCCGCCGGCACTCTTCAGGACACCTGAAGCCAATCCCCCCTCCTTCCTTCCGACGCAGAGCTGCGCTCCCTCCACTTTCCCGGGCTCCCTGTGATCCCAGGAGCGGGCGGACCCCAGCTCACCACGCCCAGGCTCACGTCCTGCGCGCTGGGACTCGGAGCGCGCGCCGGCGGCAGCAGAGCCCACAGAAGCGCCAGCAGCCGGAGACGGAGCGCCCGCGGGCGCACGAGGCCCCGGACGGGCCGCGGGGTCCCTCGAAGGGGCCCGGACTGCGGCCACCCTGGAGGTCTCGAGGAGGTCGGGGACCCGGCGGAGATCGAGAGAGCCGACGCTGGGCAGTGGAGCTGGGCGCAGGAGGTCCGGGATCCCGGGAGACGCATCCCGGGCTGCGCGCTGAGAGCCCGGGGCCCGGGTGGGGCTGGCAAGGGGGGGGTGCTGGGAGGAGGCGCGGCGGGGGCCGGAGGTCCGGGGAAGAGTCCACCGCGGCGGCCTCGCCTGGCCCCCCAGGTGCTGTCCAGCCCGGGCCCGGCGCCAGCTGCCCCACCTGCTAGTGGAAGCCGGAGCGGAGCGGGCTCCGGGAGGCGCGCTGAGGGCGGGGCTAGGGAGGGCGTGTCGCCAGCCGGCGCAGCCGAGAGCAGGGCCGGGGACTCTCCACCGGGACCCAGGGACTCTCCTAGGAGTTCGAGGGCTAGCGGTGGGGCCAGCCAGGCGGGGTGCCCTCTCCTCACGGCCTCCGTCTGAAAGTTTCTGTTCCCAGATCCGCGCTCTGTAGGGACTCCGGGAGCAGGCTTCCTCGATTCTGCTTCCTCCGCACCGTGGGCCGGGGGAGGGGCGGCCGGAGCTCCCCTCCCCCCCACATCCTGCCGCCCTGCGTCGGGGACCCCAGGCAGCAGGCAGGCTTGACTTCCAAAGCTTCCTTTCACCGCAGGAACCCAGCCGGGCCCAGTGTGGTTGTCCCGGGCCATTGTCCCGACCCGCCTAGATGTGCAAGGCTTGGCTCCAAGCACAGGACGAGGGCACCTCTAGACCTCAAACTTAGGTCCTGTTCCCACCTCATGCCCCGCCCCCCAGGGATTAGGTATTTAAACACAAAAGGTGGAAACAACACAAGGTGGAAAAGAGACAATCTTGAGGGAAGGGCTACAGCCCGGAAACCAGCAGAGCCTTCCTGCCAGCCAGAGAAACCGAGATGGGAGACTAGAAAAGGGGAATGAGGGGAGTGAGAGGGATCAGGCTGCAGACCCCAAGTCAGAAGGGAAGTGGTCCAAGAGTGTGTGTTGACAGCTCGGTCTCCGGGGCAGCAGGAGGAGACTCGTCTGCATTCTATCTATCTATCTATCTACCTATCTGTCTGTCTATCTACCTATCTATCTATCTGTCTGTCTATCTACCTATCTATCTATCTATCTGTCTGTCTATCTACCTATCTATCATCTATCTATCTGTCTGTCTATCTACCTATCTATCATCTATCTATCTATCTTGGTTTTTCGAGACAGGGTTTCTCTGTGTAGCTTTGGCTGTCCTGGACTGGCTTTGTAGACCCGGCTAACCTGCCTCTGCCTCATGAGCGCTGGGATTACAGGCTTGTGGGCCCGGCCCATCTGCTTTTTAGACAAAAATAGTGGGCAGGATGAACAAGCAGCAGATGTAAACAAAAACAGTGGCATCCTGTACTCTGCAGAGCTGTGGACAGATGTCACACACCGGGTGACAGACAGAAATCCATTTTCTCACAGTCCTGGAAGGTCGAAGAGCCAGCACGCTCTCAGGCTTCCCCTGAGACCTCGGGCTACCTTGTCACGTGGTCACCCCGGGTGCGCCTTGCCTTCTGCTTGTCTTCAAGGTGCCCTAAGCACCTCCCTCTAATCCCACCGTCACCGTCCAGACCTTGCAGGAAACAATGGGAATGAGAGAGTCGGCATGCAGATACAGAGGTCATCCCACAACGTTCTTTATTCTATTTTTAACTTTTTGTTGATTCTTTGTGAGTTTTCCATCAGATACCCCAATCCCACTCATCTCCCCGGTCCCTTCATATCTTCCCTCCGCCTTTACAAATTCCCCCAGAAGAAAACAAAACAAAACAAAACAAAAACAAAGATAAAATAAAAATAAGCAAAGCAAAACATAAAAGCATCTCGGCGTGGAAGCTGTAGAGTGCCCCGCTGTGGCTCACAGTACACCCTTTTGTCCACACATCTATACTTGCAAATGTCCATTGCAGAGTCATTGGTCTGGTTCAAGGCTTCTGCTGCTCTGTCAATACTGGGTCCTCACAGGACTCCTCCCAGATATCCTGTTGTTGCCCGGTGTCATGGAGACCCGGCAGCTTGGCATCTGCAGTACTGGCCCCTTCACGCACTCCAGCAGTTCATAGATGGGGTAGAGGCTGGGGTGGGCCAGCTCAAAGCCCCAGATCTGGGCTGGTGGCCGCTGAGCTGGTCAGCCCGCCAGCGCTCCCGAACCCACACCACCAGAGGGCGATCTCCTGCTCTCATGCCCTCCACCTGGCTGGCCTGCACCCACACCACCAGAGCCAGAGGTTCTGTGCTGCCCAGTCAAGGTGAAGGGGCTCGCTCTCCTGAGTGCTGCAGCTGGCAAGAGGGGGGTTCAGCTCTCCAGAGTCCCAGTGAGGGGCAGGGTCAGCTCTGCACAGCACTTGGGCATCAACATGGTCCCAGGTGGCAACCCAGAGCAAGGATCTCTGCATGGTCATTAGGAGTAACCTGAGCCACCGACATCAACACAGACCCTGCTGCTACAGGGCATGCACCCAGGCAAGGCCATGCACCCAGGCAGGGCCATGCGCCCAGGCAGGGCCATCAGCACAGCACCGGCTGGGACCTCACCAAGGCCTCAGGGCAGGCTGCATACATCAGACTATTACTCTCCACCCCTGACTCTTCATGATGCTCAAACCTCTCTGCTTCTCTTTCTCTCCCATCTCTCCACCACATCCTTGCACATTGTAGGAGCTCCGCTGCGGTGGGCCGCGTGGCAGGTGGGCCTCTGGGTGTGCTCTATTCACCGGCACCTCGTGGTTTGGAGACTGGCGGGCCCCTGGGTATCAGCAGCCCGTCCCTGCCAAGTGGCAGCCGGCCTCTGTCTTATTTATTTTTGAGACAGGGTCTCACTGTGTAGTCTTGGCTAGCTTAGAATTAACTATGTAGGTTGGCATTGAACTCACAGAGAGCTGCCTGTGTCTGCCTCCCAAGTTCTGAAATTACAGATGCCACCATGGCTGGCCTAGCCTTTTAAGGTTTACTTTGTGTGTGTGTGTGTGTGTGTGTGTGTGTGTGTGTGTGCGCGCCTGTGTTGTGGAGGGTGGTGTAAAAACTGGCCATCGGATTTCCTGGATCTCTGTTATAGGGAGATGTGAACCTCCGAAGACAGGGGCTGAAGAGCAGGAAGCACCCAGCTGCTGAACCATCTCCAACTCCTTGGGTTCTTTTTTTCAAGACAGGGTTTCTCTGCGTAGCCTTGGCTGTCCTGGACTCCCTTGGTAGACCAGGCTGGCCTCGAACTCACATCTATCCGGCTGCCTTCCGAGATTACAGGCGAGTGCCGCTGCACCTGGCTGTTCCTGTGCTCTTTTTAAAGACGGAATTGCTTTAAAAATGCAGGGTGGAAGCGGTGGTGACGATAAAAACAAACAAACAACAAAAAACCTTTGATCACAGCACCCTGTAGGCAGATCTCTGAGTTCGAGGCCAACCAGGTCTACAGAATGAGTTCCAGGACAGCCAGGGCTACACAGAGAGACCCTGTCTTGAAAGACAAAACCAAACAAAAACAACTGAATTTCATTCTGAGACCTGCACTGGACCTTGAGCTCACGGCAATCCTCCTGCCCCAGCAGGAGTGTCAAGAGGACAAGTGTGCACCTCAAAGTCTTAAAGACAAGAGCAAACACACACTTTATTTTGGCGTGAGCCCAGCCTTTAATAAAAAGGAGTTAGAGGTAAGTAAGTAGGTATTGTCCGGCACACCTGTAATCCCAACACTTGGAAGTTGGAGGCAGAAGGATCAAAAGTTCAAGGTCAGGGCTGGAGAGATGGCTCCTCAGTTAAGAGCGGGGGAGGGGGGGAAGGGGGGGAGACCAGGGCTCAATTCCCAGCACTGTCAGAAACTCCAGTTCAGGGACTCCGACACCTTCTTCTGGCCTCCTTGTGCAGGCACCCGCATGGCGCACAGATGAACGCACAGGGGCGACACCAGCAACACGCAGGTGAAAACGAAGTTAAAAACGTTAAGAGGGTAAGGCCGTTATCAACAACATGGAAGTCTGAGGATGGCCTGGGGTCCATCGAGTCCTGTCTCAAAACAGAAATAGGCACAGTGGCTTAAGCTTTTGATCCTAGCACTCAGGGGGTGGGGTTGCTGTGAGTTCAAGAGCAGCCTTGTCTACATAGTGAGTTCCAAGCTAGCCAGGGCTACACAGTATGACCCTGTTTCAAAAAACAGAGCTTTGATTCTAGCCCTCAGGAGGTCGATATCTGTGAATGTGTGGCTAGCCCGATCTACGGGTTCAGGAATAGCCTCACGCTGTCTACTCGAGCACCAGACCCAGACTAATGGAGGGTGATTGGACGGTGAACGGAAACTGACCATAATCGATTTTGTTCCAAGTGTATTGTGTTATATCTAGGTAGCTAGACAAAGCACTTTAATCTGATTGGCTGGGATTTAGGATTGGGGAGCTCTCGGGGGCTTTCCAGCCTGCTGGGAGTAAGGGATGTAGCAGGATTTCGCCATCTTTAACTCTAGCGGAACATGCATTTATCATTTATTGTTTTATTCTAAGCAGCAAGTATTAAACTATTGAATTGTATCCTGGTCCTCAGGTCTGTAGGGCATAAGAACTTGAACTTCATTTCATCAAAGTAGAGACTTGGAGGCAAAATAGCTTCTGATAGATATGCTGAAGGTTAAAGCAGCTGTTAACAGAGGAGCCACAGTTATGCTAAAAACTACAGTAGGGCTCAACAGAGGGGCTGGAGGGCTTAAGTGGGTTACAATACGACGTAGCAAGTTCCAGGCCCTGTAGGACTTCACAACTGAGCTCTGAGGCTCAGTCTTTTTTTTTTTTTTTTTGTAAGATTTCACTTATTTATTTGTTATTTATTTATTTATTTATTTATTTATTTATTTATTTATTTATTTATTACATATATATCAGAAGAGGGCACCAGATCTCATCATAGATGGTTGTGAGCCACCATGTGGTTGCTAGGAATTGAACTCAGGACCTCTGAAAGAGCAGCCAGTGCTCTTAACCACTGAGCCATCTCTCCAGCCCAAAGCTCAGTCTTAAAACAAACAGAAAGGAGAGAGAGAAAGAGAGAGGAAAGAAAAAAACAAAAGAAAGAGAAAGAAG